ATGGGTTCTATATGTGTTCTAGAACAAGAAAAGAAGGATAACATCAAGCCTCCTTACCAGTTTTCCAAGTGGGGTTGTCGGCTTGGCTGGGTTCTTTTTGCTCGGTGCTGAAGAAGAAAGAGGAGAAGGAGAAAAAAAATCAGTCATCCTTATCCAAAATTTTCCTCTTTTAAGCCCCTTGAATTTAACACAAATTGCCATTAGGTTCACTAATAATATTTCCTCACAAGTTAGTCCCTAACTCACACTTATTTATTCTAGAAATTTTTGGGGTATTACACACCTCTTGACCTTACTCTTGTAGTGCACGCGCAAAAAGGCCGTTTTAGCTGATAACTTCAAGGATGCAAACTAAATGCTTCTAGAATTTTCCCAACTAGCGATGTCATTCAAAGCGTTTACGTAGTGCGTGGTAGCATATTTCTTTGAAGCAATGCTAGCGAGGCTTGTAAGCTTGTGTTTGGGAATCTGTGTGGTACTCCACATGCTTCTATAGAGCCACAACTAGAGAATGGTTTTGGCATTCCAAGTGCTCAATGGAATAAGCTTCTTCATAAAATTCATCATAGAAATTGTAAAGGAAATCCTTGATTTGGCTTCAATTTTTACTAAATGAACCCAAAAATCTGTAGAGGAAATCCTAGAAAGGGTATAGTTCTTCACTACGTGGAAACCTAGATTTGAGTGATGTGGGGTTGGCAAAGATAGTGATGGTGGGCATCTAAATACATGAGGAGAACTTTAAGGGCATTGATAGAATAGGACTAGAGAAGATGGAGATCAATGGAGGAGGGGGAATGAGGGTTTTAATTTAAAGGGTAATAAAGGAATATGTAAGAGAAGGAAAGAGGATTAAGTTCACGGGACAAAGTATTTGGGTTGGGATAGGAGGAGGAGAAAGGATAGGGTTTTGAGGAAGAAGATGAGGACATTTTTTGTAAATTTATTATAATTATAATTTAATTATTATAAATAAACTTAAATGAGTTATAATGGCAATTACATAACTAATCAAGTTTTTAATGCCATTGTGGACAATAAATTTTGACCATGTCATCAATTTTTACAGGTCAAATTTACAAATTATTAGTTTAAGGAAAAAAAACAACTTCTCTGTTAACTAACTTGCCACATACACAAAAACTTAACGGAGGAAAAAGAAGGTTGAAAAGTTAAACTTGAAGGACCAAAAACGACATTTTTAAAGTTGAGAGGCTAGAAAGGTCCCTTGTACAATGGTTGAGGGACTAAATGGGATTTTAATCTTAAAAAAAAAATTATCCAAAATTTTAACTTAAAGAAGATATTTTGTTAGATATTTTATTTGAGAGATAAATATATAAAAGTGTGAGTTTATATAAATAATATTAATTGTAATAATATGACAATAAAATGAGTTTTTTAATTGTTTCCCATTCTTTATATTCTTACCTTTATGTTAGTAAAGAATTAAAAAATACCTACTCCCTAAAAAATAAAAGAAATATATATTCCTCATTCATACTTAATTTAGTACAAAATTATCAATATTAAAACTTAATTATTCCTAACTTCTTAAACAAATGTTCAGCTTTACCTTATTTTTATAATTTAACTAAAAAATAATTATTACTACATAATTAGACATGGTTAGATCTATTTCCACGACATGTCTAGATCCATTTTTACCTTATTTTTATATACATACCTCATCCATTTTGATATACATGGTCAAACATGACTAGATCTATTTCCACAACATGGTTGGACGTTTTTTATGATCATGTCCCCTATAGTGATATTCACTATTACATCTTGTGGCTCCTAACGATGGACAAAGGGTCAGATTCATTATCTTATTTAGCCTCAAACGATGGGTAAAAGGCTACATATCTCTGCATATCTTTATCACACCGGTTCCTAGCAACAGACAAAGGGTCAAATTTCTATCTATTTTATCTCACTGGCTCCTGGGAACAAACAAAGAGTCAACGTAGCTTGGTATGATTAGCATGAGGTCAATAACAGTTGCAACATTGCGATCAGATAGGATGGCTACCCTTTAACGATAAAAAATCCATCAAGTAGCGGCCAACGATCCCTTGGTGGTTACCCATGCATGGTGATGCGATGCCTGGTGGGCAACAACAACCAGGATCACCTTTGACAATGCGGGTACTGCAAGAAAGGGCAGCATTTGTCAGTGGTATCACACCTTGTTACATCGGAGGCCATGGATGCAATTGGTGTCCCCCTTCCATGGAGACAACTCCACCTCTCTCTATCATATATTCATTGCTATGGGGGAGTCTAGCTTAGTGAGATTTACCCTTTTGCAACTTGGGGGATTAATGGGAATGCTCTTTCGATTCCACATAGTTCACGCTTCAATTATGGGCAAAGCTAACCATTGTTGTCCTTTTGGTTATAGGAAAGCTATTCGTGGCTAACCCTACAATATTTACATGGCTGATTGCTATGCACATCATTATTTTCTCACAGAAAGGGACAAAATTATTGGTCACTGGTAATCCCGACTCATAGCATAAATCTTCTATGCTTTACGTGTTAATAGATATCACCGGCCAATGATGCTTGGCAAAGGGACAATGATATCGCAACATACATCTATATCACATCTTGGCATCATGCTAGCTATATATAACAGCATTATACAAGCATTTGCCATGGCCAATAAACAAAAAGGCACAACCAAACATTCATCCACATCGCCTCCTTTAATACACAAGGAAGAACCTTTCTTTGCTACACATATCCATACATCTTACACTCAAATATTTGAATATATACTCACTCGTATCTTGCTTTCATCGCAGATGAATACAAGCCTATGAATCCAAGCCCATAAACAATGGAGTGGTGGCTTGGCAAGCATGGATGGGTGAATGCTGCCCATCTGGTGAAGTAAGGTATTCACGCTGGCGAAGCAAGGTATTTGCGCTAGCGAAGCTTGCCATTGGCAATGTTGGTTGACTTCATCAAAGAGGGCTTGATGGCAAAAATGTGGAAGTGGAACCGATCCCAAAAGTCGTACCATCTGATGGTAACTAGAAGTTCAAAATCCTATTAAAAACTAACTAGATATGCTGTTATGATTACCATCAGCAACTTGCAGCCATATTCAATGTAAAGGTGGTTGCACAAGTTTTATGGCCTTGGAAGTTGTTGAAAAAGATTGCATTTTGCTTGGGGAATTCTCCAAAATCCTAGGCAAATCTTATGTTTGCCAACTGCACTCAAATATCCCCCTAAAAATGGAATTTCGTATGGTTGGAAGATTACCAAAAGCAGTTAATTTCTAGTCATTCGATAGAATTAGCGAAGCTTCATTAGAACCACTAGATAATTCATGATACCACTGCTAGAGAGCTATTAGCAATGTCCAGAGCCACTAAAAGCATGACATCTCATCCAAACCTACCTATTAGCCACTACACACCCCAGACCCATTAACCCAAAAATTACAAAAATGCCACTACACATGTATGTATTATTTTTTCCTTCATTTTTCAACAGACAACAATGATCTTTCACAACTTTAGCTTCCTTCCCCACGCACTAGACCTCCATTGATCCTTTAAAAAATTCCTCATCTTCAACCTCTCACCTTACACAACAAAAATCACTTAAAAATTACCATTTTCTTCATATTTTCTGCACTTCCAACATTGTAGAGTAATTTCCAGACTTGCAGTACATCATGGCTAGGAAGCATCATGATTTAGTTTTAGCTTTTGGGTAATTTTTCTTGGGCATCAGAGGATCAAGTTGTAAGGTTAGCATAAAAAATAGGATCAAACACTCCACTTACAAGTCCCCAAGTGATCATCCTTCTTTCTCCCATCACTACTTTCAAGTTTATTCTTTTTGTTCTTGAAAGAGCTTCGACAGAGGAATCATTGTGCTTTTCCATTACAATATAAGGGTCGTTCGTCATAGAGTGAGGATATTTATTAGAGATGGTAAAGGGCATATTTATTGTCATTATTATTATGTCACAATATTTTATATATAAATGTACTTCTCAAGTTGTAACTTTTAACTCTCATGTATTTTTTGTACTTGTTGCTCCTACAACAATGAACACCTTCTTTACACTATTTTTGATAGTTGTGTAATCATCCCTAGCCCTTGAAACTCTGTTATCATTGCTTAGCTCTTTTGACTTGGTTGGAACATTTGAACTTTCGAACTTTGCTGGAAAGTTTGTTGTTGGATATCATTGTTAGAGGACATCTTCGTTGGACAAAACAAGATGGTCCATAGCACGTAGCCCTTCACACGTGAAATGAATGCTGCCAAAAAGACTCTCCTCATTTTCTCGGGTGGCATCCTACTCAGCTTTCACATCATTTTCACCGCTGACTCACTGGCCACATCACCAGCACACCTCAACAATGATGATAAAACTCATCACTACAAATCACCATAGTCATGAAAAATGAAAAAAAAATCACAAAATACATACACATTCAATGTGGATGAAATAAATTCATTAATAGGAAAATAATTTATCACAAAAAAATAATTACAAATACAATATAAACTTGTGACGATAAAAATTATCACTATAAAATAAATAATTAATAATGGTGATAGATGGAATATTAGTAAAAAATATTCACTATTGCAGGGAATCAATATTTAGACCAAAAATTCGGTTCGAATAACCCAAAAATTGGTCTAAAAAACAATATACGAACTGATATCGATCCGTATAGTTGAACCAAAAAAACATCTTATGAAAAAATAAAATATACAGATCGACAAAAAATCGGTTTGTAAATTAAACTATTCAAGCTGCAATCAGACTGTATACTTTGGTAAAAAAATTCAGGTCGTGATTATAAAATTGAAATTTACGAACTGTAAACAATCCGGATATTAAGAATATAAAAAATAATTTCATAATTACAAACTGCAAACGATTTGAATAACCAAGGAAAATAATTACAAAAAATATATTCAGACCAATTTCGGTCTAAATATCTACATCCTATTTTGTGACAATGAAAAATTGGGTGCTTGAATGGCAACGAAAAGTATATTCAGACCGATATCGGTCTGAAGATAATGGACTCAATTGAAACTTCTAAAAATTATGCTGCTAATTTGTATATTTAGTATACATTTTGCAGACCGTTAACGGTCTGTATATATAGGACTCATATGTAAATTTTGAAATATCTGCTATCATATTGTCGTGACATCGAAAATATATCTGGACCGTTTTCGATCCATATGAAGAGGACTAAGATGTAAATTTTGAAATATTTGATGTCATATTGTCATGACATCGAAAATATATCTGGACCATTGTCAGTCCAAAATTAAAGTTAAAACAAATAAAAAAAGAATAAAAGAAAACAATTATTAAATGAAATAAAATATATTTATTTTTCTTGCTATTTACAAAATATTCCAAAATGCAAATTATATTACTAATGAAATATTAAATATCTCTATAAAATTTAAATATATGTATATACGGGTAAATTAATTTTATACTAATTATTTAATATAATAACTTAAAACATATATAATATTAATTACATTATATTCAAATTATAAAATAAATTTTAACTACAATATAATATTAAAAAGTTTAAAAATATCAACAATAGTAATTACAATTGTAAATAAATAATGAAATATAAAATATAAGTAAAAATTAAAGAATATATAATACAAATTATAACAAAATAAAAAAAAAGTTTATTAAATCATTTCCTATAATCTATTTATTTGAAATTTCTCCATTTTCTACAAAAGAAAAAGAAACCAAATAAGTATAAAAATAAAAGAAAATAATTACAAATTATAACAAAATAAAGAAAAAAGTTTATTAAATCATTATCTATAATCCATTTACTTGAAATTTTCTCCATTTCCTACAAAGAAAAAGGAACCAAATAAGTATAAATATAAAAGAAAATAAATATATATATATAAGAGAAAATTTAAAATTCACCAAATTTTTATAATATGAAACCTACAAAAACAAAAACAAAAA